GAGGCTGGTGAGGGGTCTGGAGAACAAGTCTTATGAGGAGCGGCTGAGGGAACTGGGGTTGTTTAGCCTGGAGAAGAGGAGGCTGAGGGGAGACCTCATCGCTCTTCTACAACTACCTGAAAGGAGGCTGTAGCGAGGTGGGTGTCGGTCTCTTCTCCCAAGTAGGTAGCGATAGGACGAGAGGAAACGGCCTCAAGTTGTGCCAGGGGAGGTTTAGATTGGACGTGAGGAAAAATGTCTTTGCTGAAAGAGTGGTTAAACATTGGAACAGGCTGCCCAGGGAAGTCGTTGAGTCACCATCCCTGGAGGTATTGAAAAGACGTGTAGATGAGGCGCTTAGGAACATGGTTTAGTGGGCATGGTGGTGTTGGGTTGACGGTTGGACTCGATGATCTTAGAAGTCTCTTCCAACCTTGGTTCAAGTATTTACTTGTTTTGAGCAGAGGTCAGGATTGAGCCATGGGCACTGAATGAAATAAAATTTTTGAAAAGAAGGAGTACCTTAACAGGCAGTAAACATTTCTGCCTTGACTGGCAAACAATCATTAAAAACCTTTATTAAATTTTGCGTCCATTCTGTTCACCACTTAGCCATTTCTTTTCATTCTGAAAGATTATAACTAAGAATGAATGAGTCTTCTCTAATATGGTCAGGACACAATAAATCTGTGAAAGAACTGACTTATCTTAACCCCTCATAGGCAATTTTTTCCAATTGTTTAACAAAATGTTGTTTTGTATTGCTATGACATCAGTCTTTACGCCTGTGAATAATGAGGCTCAATATTAAGCAACTTGTTTACAAAAAAGTCATGCAGTAACAATTAGAGAGTGTTTAATGCGCTTCCCCACTAGAGTCCATACCCTCTCTTCCCACTTACTGATCTTCCCACTGCAGTGTGAAGTTATTTGTGTCTTCAGAATGAGCAAACAGATCTTTTCAGTGAAAGGGTGAAAAATTTCCTGAGTTCTGCCATATAGAAGTTGGCATCTGTTGTTCCGTAGAACAGGATCTCTGCTGCACTGATCCAAGCATTTGTCAGCCCCGGAGTGGAGGATGGCAGCTCACAGTATCTGAAGAAGAAGGAGACTATCACACAAAGCTTCCCACTACAGACAAATTGTGGCATCCATCATCATCCTTTCAACCCAGTTAATACAGTTGTATTAGGCCTCTTCTCCAGTTCCTCCCCCAGCTCCCAGCCCACCTCCTTTTTAGTGTGAAATGTGTTTGAATCTTCAAAGTAGCTACATTTCAAAATACATTTTGCTCATTACCAAGAATAACCACAGTCCTCTGGAATAAAGCAGATCACAAAGCCTGAAATGGATCTGCAATACTTTGGGGGGAAGATACTTGTGATGAAGGGTATTGGATAGATCCAGAATCTGCCCAACTTTGAGAAGCATTGCAAAGTCTTTCCATTTGGTTAAAATATTTCCACATAACTGGAATAGGTCCTGATTGTACCTTGTCATACCATGCAAGCAAAGCTAACATGAACAAGGTTTTCGTAACTCTGAAAAGGAGACAAACAAGGTGCTGCCTTTCAAAACAATGTTCATATGCGTTGTAGGTTGAGTTTCAGCTACATGAAAGAAGTGATCAGAAATACTGGAATGGCTCTTTCCATCCCTAAAACCAAAACCAACACCCCCAATGTAATTTTCCAACAAGATTCAGAAAAGAAATTGGTAGTCACTCACAAAATGGGGGTGATAGGTATGGGGGAATGGAAACTCGATAGTAACCAGGGCAACTTAGCGAGGTTGTGAAAAAATCCACTCTGAGTCAGGGTATTTCACTGTCACTGGGCTGTAGGGGAAGCTGAGCTGTTGGGGCTTTTCTCTGCAGAAGCTCTCCCACCTTCTCTAATACCCTGAAGTGTCCTTTGCACTAGCAGCAACAAATGCAAGCTGTTGAGGAGGGTGGCCACCAAGGAACGTGGAGCACCTTAGTTCTGAAATGTTGTACAAAAATGGCACAGCTCCAACAGGATACGTGCCATGTAGCTTAGCGAGTAGGTGCTCCTCTCAGGTGTGGGGGACAGGTTCAAGCTTCTCCTCAATCATCCTTCCTTGACGAATGCCTTATAACAAAACGTATTAGTCTAAGCCAGTTACTTCATTTCTTCCCAAATAGTGCTGCTCTTCTTGTTCCCTGGATAGGCTGGGTTTAGATTCACTGAAAATGAAACAGTATTTTTCATTTTTTGGAACTACCAGTGAACTGAAAAATCATTTATTCCCACAGCACTAATAGTAGGCAACTGCTCATGGTGACAGAAGGAGAAAGACTTATCTAAAGGTCAAAAAGATGAGTTTAGGGAGTAAATATATTGTGATAGCAAGTGTGACCTAGTATGACACATTTAGGTTTATTTTAGAAAAGGCTTTCTTATTCTATACTTAGTCCAAGAAATATATTTCAAATGAAATTTAATGAACAACTTGCAGTTGGTACAAGCATCTTAAATGACACCATCTTAAAAATCATATCCAGGGACCAAGGTTTCCAAGTGACCAAGCCCATAATGAAAAGTAGCAAATACCCTCAACTCCTCAAAGGGTTGAGAAGTATGTTGTGGTCTTCAGTTGTAAAGTAAGTACTCAGACAGCTGGCAGATTGTACCATCATTAACCAGTGATCTCCAAACTGAGGTTTGCAAGAGGAAAAGCTGCAGGAGCAGAGCTCCCTGTGATGATACTGGTAGATGTGGTGTTTTCAATTAAAAGTTTGATGATAAGTGTCCCTGGTCATCTGCGGTGGAGAAAATTTGATGGTATAGTCTGTTATTCCAAAATATTTGGAGGTCACTGCCAGAAAAAACCTCCAACTTGAGGACCAGTTCTTGAAAGTGAATAAGAAAGTGCTTGTTGCTTTATAAACCCAGCTTGGTCACCAGAGGTAGGAACTGTGTAAGTATTCTGACTGTTGTTGGCTTTTTGCTTCTTCTATTTTAGCTGGATGCTGAGAAGGCAAAATTAAAACTGGAAAGATGGGCTTCCCGAGATGCTGGCAGTGGGGGTGGAAGAAGTGAAGAGATGGAGTCAAGTGGGGATTGTGATGATGAGGATGGCTGTCAAGGATCCGGTGACAGGATTCACACAGCAGGTAAATACAGTTTCTATAGGCACATACAGAACTTAGAAATTCATAAGTGTCAGAATTCGGTGGACAGAGCTAAGACTTGCACTGCTTGAATTACCGTCAAAATCCTACTAAATTCAAAGGATTCGAATCTTAATCTGTGAAGAGCTGCGGTAAAAATAGAATGATACAGACAGTAACCCAATATAATTTAACACTTGACGTGCAGATAAAAGACTTAAATTTAGAGTGAATAATATCTGCAATGAAATCGAGATCACAGAAATACTGGAAGAGCCTTCCTAGATAATGTGGGCTCTTCAAATAAATAGAAAATTAATGTCCTTACAGACTGTGCTAAGTGTTAACATAAATATTTATTGGTTGCATAATGATATTGAAGGGTGATCCAAACAGAGTTGGCTTCTGAGAGTATATATTCTTGAAAAAACACATGAAGTATTTTTTTTTTAGTGGTGAGCTGCTGGTTAAATATAATTTCTTGATAGTTTCAGATATGCATTCTGCAATATTTATCCATGAAATTACTCGGATAATAAGTCATCAAATGTAGAATCAGCATCAGAATCTAACTTAACTTCCACCAAAATACTGGCAATTTAGTATGTAGTTAAGTCCTTACTATCGTAAGTCAATAAGGAATAAGATGTTTCCTTCTAAATACTTGATATTATTGGTTTATCTTTTCTGGAAGTTCTGATTCATTTCAGCTCATCAAAATGTAACTGTTTTACTTACCATAGTGTGTGTGAATATAATTTGATTTGGATGTGCAAGTATATGAAATACAGGTATAGTAGTGTTGAAAAATAATGCTTATTAAGATGGCTGGAACTCAGGTAAGTTTTAAACTGCTGCTTCATTCAGCTGAAATAAACAAGTGCCTCTTCGTTGTCCCTTTTCCACTAAGTGGAGAGTGGGAAAAGATATCCCATATTCAAGTAAGACTTGCAAACAAGCTGTGATTAGTCTGTAGTCAAGACTTCAGTTGTTCCTATTATGAATATTTGTTCAGGAAAACTGAGCTTAAACATATATTTCAAAATGTGTGCAAAATGTTAGATTTAGTTTGCAGTACCAGGTTATAAATACCTGAAATCTAATTTGTGTTGACAAGCTGTATGATCAAGATACATGAGGTATTATAACATAGGGACAGCATTTTTAAAAATTACTAAATAATTGCAACTAACAGATCAAGTAAAGATTTTCACCATCTACTTACCAATGTTTTTGAACAGAAGAACTTTGATACAATGTTATTTTAAAACTATTTGCTTAACTTTTTTATTGTTTATTGTATTATATACATAAGCAAAGAAAAGACTGCTAGATCTTTTGGGCCCTGGGGATTTGTGAGGGTAAATACTTTAATATGCTTTCCTCTCTATATGGAATAAGACAAACAAAAGCCAGGTGCTAACTACTCTTCAATGAACAATTAAACTATTAATACACTGTTTTGGGAGGATGTGTATGCATGCTGACATGAACAATGGCAGATTTCAGGTGTTCAAAAATCAAAACTTGAATACTTTCAAGACTTCACTTACAGCTGGCTTTAATAATGGAAAACTACTTAATGCTACTTTTTTCCCTTTTTTTTGCAATCTATTTAATTAAAATATTTTATGCTGATATCATCCTGGATTTAAAAGAATTATATTTATATAACTAGCTGTTTCAGAATTTAGTAGGGTTTATATCCAGTCAAAAAGGTAATTACACTTAATTTTAGAAAATGGCCTTGATTCATAACAGTAAAAATAAGTATTTCATTGTGTGACAATAGTAATGCTGTTTCATAATTAGCTTTAAAATATTGTACTGTACACAAGCCACTAGCACTAAATCTGTTTTGCATATCTGGATACAATTAAGAGGTAAAATGGAGTAATCTCATTATAGAGCTTCTTTGCTTTAATAGAATGTTAAAGAAATAAACAAATGTCAGATTAGTTGAATTTCCTTTTGCTGCATGTCTGTAAGAAGGGGTTTCTAATTGTACAGCCTGTGAACTTGTTGTATTTCCTAAACTTAAAACCTGTCAAGTACATCTGACCATTGTTTTGTTGAAGTGGAACATGACAACATTGACTATTCCTTGCTTGCTTGAAGTACACAGTGAATTGAGACATGAATTGAAGCTAAAGCGAAATCCCAAATAAAACCCTGATTTGAAGCTTAGTAAAGTCAGTGGGAATATTCTTACTGACTACGGCAGGTTTGGATGAGACATAAATGATAGCTATAAAACGCCACCGATCTCATCAGTGCATTTTGTAGTGTGCAGTCATACAGTAGAACAAAAGGAATAAAAAAGGAATAAAAGCCTTTCAAAACATGGACTTTTTGGCAGAGCAGTCATGCTTTTAACAACAGGTCCATGGAAAAGAGAAAAGAAAAGAAAGGATTTCAGTGTCAACCTCTAAAATGCTGAATTTAAAATGCAGTAAAAATGTGCTACATCTGTCATTTATTTGAAACCTATATGAAAATGATATTTACAATTTATGTGTTGAGAGACCTGCTTTGAGCATTGAAAAAGACTCAGATTGCTTTTAAATAGTTTCTGAAAACCTACTGAATGCTCATTCCTTTCCACCTCCCAGAAAAAAGAAGTTACCTTTTCATTAACAATAAATTGCCAGGAGTTTCATCAATATCTAGGTTACCATCTTCAAAACATTTCTGGTCATAACTATTAAAAGATCCCCCTGGACACAGGGTACATTGCCATCTCCCCAGTTTGCTTTTCCAAATTGCGAACAGAAGGCCTGGCTCCTAGATTTTAGATTTCAGTGTGTACCGGGTAGGTAAACACAGAAGTGGTTCTGTGCTTGTATATTCCAGCCAGGTCCATTGTACATATCCTTTTCCCCAATTTTTCTTTGGTTGGGGATTGCTGTCTGTATATGTCAGCTTATCTTGCAATCGATAGTAAAATCCGGTCCTTTTGTTGGTCACCTTCTAGCCTTTGAGAACCATTTCTGCATATCAGTTAATCATTTTATTTTATGTCTTCAATTAAGATATGTGGATATCTATTATTTAGTGCTGGTTTTTTGTTCACTTTTGTTACAAATAAGTCTTTGCTCACCAAATTCATTGTTATCTAAAAAGATCACCGCTTATTCCTTTAATCATAATGGGCTTAATTGTCTATTCTGTATCGTGTGTGTTTATCCAAATTATTTTGTACGACCAATATAAACAAATTCTCAGGAAACCAGCGTTCTCTTAGGAAATTATGTATGGTAGAAGATACTTTAAAATGTCATATTCTCACAGGCCTTACCAATTACCACAAGTATCTCTTCTTGGGGAAAGCTGTGGAAACAGCACTGTTTCTCAAGCAGACCCATGTGTTATTTGTTGGCAAGTACCAACTGTTTAATGACAACATCTGTTAATCATCTTTGAACAAAGCTTTGTTAGGAGAGATTTAAGAAGAGGAAAGCAAGCCATATAAATCTTGAGCACGGATGGGGAAGTTGCTTTGTAATTTGCACTGCTTCAGTCCTGCAGGTTTCTAGGCAGAAGTGCAAAGCAGCATCTTGGTTTGAACCTTGCTTAGCACTGCATGATCACGTAAGCATAGTCTTACATGAACTTCGATCACTGAGTGAGTGTGGACTTATTCTTAAACCCTTACTGGATCATGAAGGAAGGTGGTGCTGGTGTGGAGAAGAGCAGGGATTGCTCAGTGCCTTGCAGGATCAAGCCACAGGAATATTTGCTAGGAGAGGGATTAGCATCCTGCCATTCATGAAAAGACAGAACAGCAACAGATTCACATTGTGTCCTGCCTCTCCTCTGTTCAGAGAAAAGGAAAAATGTTTCAGTCTGTTCAGTGAAACGTGGGAAGGAAGTTAGTGCAGGGGATTGCCCATTCCTAGCTGTGCTGCACAGCTGTATGTTGTGATGAGGCTGCACCCAAGCAGTGACAACCAGTGTTAGATCTCCATTCAGGGAAATCATCAGGTGATTAGCCGTTAAATAAAGTTTAGAGGAAACATTTAGACCACAGGCAGGGACCTGAATTTAGTGCAAGCCCAAAGTCACCTATATAGAGCTCTAGGCTTTGTGGAAGTTGTGGAACATTACATTGGAGAAAGCTTATGCTGACACTACCTCTTGGCATGGGTCCGTATGCACGCCTGTCTGTGGATGGGAAGGACACAGGTATTCCTGGGCTTGCTCGCTAGCATGTATCACTGTACATGTATCACGTATGAAGCTGTATGTTTTGCATAGCCAGTGAAAGACAGAAATTAATCCAAGCTTCTTTCTAGAGGAGCTTGATACAATATTGTGCAAAGTCATAGAGAATGTAGCTAGTGCTGGACTACAGCTGCCTTCTTGCTGGCAAGGCAGACAAAAGCACAGGTTAAGGAAAACATATATTTTAGTAGGCTAAAGCCTACTCTTGGGCCTTCCTCCACTGAACAGAATAGACAAAGCCAAAATGTCTCGTGTACATGAACTGCAGTTTTTGCACCAGATTCACCCATCTGTGGGTATAATCTATATATGGGTCAAAAAACTCAGCCCTCAGATGGTGCATCTATTAATCCCACTCCTTCTGACATGCCTTGAAACTTTAGATTGTTGGGAAACAAGAGACATGGATTTTACCTTTCCCCTGGCTGGCTGTCTGTTCCACACAGAGATGGGCTTCTGCTTTGTCCCCATCCCAAAAGCAGTGGGTTTCCATGGAATAACAAGAAGTGCCTGACCAGTGCTGACCCTTAGGCACAGCAGATTTTAAACAATACTTTAAAATCATGTCTGTCAGTGCAGGCATTCAATAAACAAACACATCCTGTGACATCCCAGCCAGACTTTGAACATGACTATGTGTCAAATGTGCTTTATTACTGTGATTTTTGCCAAATGCTTATCTAATCCCAATAACAGTTTTCTTCCTAATTCTTTCATGAAGCTCCCTCCGTTTAATAAGAACTTTCTGATTTCAGACATCTCTCTCAGTCGAATATCCT